ACAACCGCGAGTCGCCCTCGAAAGCGGGCCAGTCTCGAAGAGCCCCAGGACACCTTTCCTGATTCTTCTTTCAGGGCCCGAGGTTCAAAGTTCGATCGCCTTTTGCCATAGAGGCTCCAATCTCTCGAAAGACCTCGCGCACGAGTAGGGGGTGCAACGCTGGAAGCCGTTTCCACCGTCTTACCCGAGCTCCTGGAGCGTCTGTAACATGGATAAAACTGGACCAAGGCCGCTGGCGCTAGCTATTGCATGACGTCCACTGGTACATGCTGCTGGGAACAGAGCTACGGATTCATCATTTCGGTTTGCAGGGACAGCAGCTCTGGACCATGATTCGGAGGCAAATGGGGGGGGGGGTTGCAGATGATCAGACAAAGACCACGGGAACTTAGTTCATCGCCCGCAAATTGGAAGCATTTTGAAGTGGAGCGGCAGCGTTCAATACGCTCACCAAGCTTATTTGCGTTGGTCTTCCTACACCGCAATTGAAGGGCTGTAGTAAGCTTGTCGGCCCGTGGATCAAAGCCATTGTTATTCCGGTATCCGGCTGGTGCCGCGTCGAAAGTACGGATAGCTCCCGGCCATCGACTTCGAGCTATAAACGACCATCCTCGATAATCCAGGCGCGGCTTGGCACGACCAGAACTTCCGACTGGACCATCAGACGAAGAAGGGGACCTTGCATCCATGGAGGCATACGGACTGGGGGTCAGGATGGAATAGACCACCTACGGCGTGTGTGGCAGCCGACAGACCAGGGCCAACCTAGCGCCTGCCTCGACAACGGGACGCAGATGCCAGCCGAGCGCCCTACAGATCGGCATTCCTACCTTGCTCCAAGTGAAGCTCGGTGAGCACCAACGTTGGATCCAGACATCGACATTCCTTATGCTAGGCCATTTCAACAATGCAGAAGAAGGCTTCGTTCGTCTTCAAGAATACTGGAAACCAAGCGTACTGAGAGTAATTTTCCTGAATCCGCTACGGTTCCCTTCCAAGCGAGCATCAGTCAGTGTTGCTCAAATTGTCCACTGACAAGATTCATCCCGATGGTGAGTGATCTCACCGACTTCTTAACATCATGATCGATAGTAGTCTGTGTATATGTCCGAGATGGAAATAGGCAAAGAAGCCCTGCCGCATGGGTTCCTGGCCGACGACCTTTGTGCCCCGAATGAAGCCAATCTCATTTAAATGCATGGGCCTCGTCCCACCGGAGGGAGCTAATTTACAATTGTTTGGAACAGGTACGCCATGCCGATACTGTAGGCTTGCGTAATATGGGTATCTTTCCAGGCAAGGTTATGATGATGGCAACAATCACGAGGGCAACGCAAGGAGCAACTGAACGTATTCTTCAGATGAACTAACCATTGGGGGGGAGAGATATAAATGCGCACGGTGCGAACTTGAACGAGCCATCATGTGTCGTATGAAAGGCATGAACGGATCCCCCACACAAATGGGACGACGTCTGCAAGGTTTCTCAAGGTTGGACAGGGGAGTCAAGAGGCAATCAAGGCGATCATATCACTGACCGAGCCCTACCGTATGCAATGCGGCAGAGTACAGGAACGATTCCGGGAAGACTGATTGTGAGGACGTACGAACCAAGGTTGTCTTCAGAGTACGGCCCCAGACTCTTGGGGGATGCTGCAATCAAGGTCGGCAAGCTGTGAATTATCATGTGCTGTCTAGGAAAAGCATCGGTTAATTCGGTGCCCATGTGCCAGGGTCCCTATTCGGGATGGCACTGTACCATCAACACGTCCGAAACAGGCCGAGGGTTGGGCCTTGTGCGAGAATCAAGCTGGCTTCTCGTTGGTGGATTTTCTTTTTGAAGAGCCCCTAGGTAGGCAAGAAATCGAAGAAGGACACTAACGGCGACCGCGAAGAAAAAGTAGCGACAGAGCCATCGTGTCTCTGAGAAAGCTGCTGGTCTGCCGGTTCGCTGGGCTCACAGATGCCTGAGTTCATCGACCCCTGGGCACCTACGCAGATGGTTGGAATGAATACGTCGAACGGGGCGCATTGATCCAATGATTGCCAAGAGGATTGGGCGAACGGGAGGACTTAAGGAAGCATGACGCGAACAACCTGCATACGACCGATGCATGGACGCTTCGTCTCGCCCCCAAGTGGTGTTGAGGTTTTCTTGCATGAGTAGTGGGAATCGGTACTCAGCTTCCACATCCCTGCGGGCAATTCCCCAACTCGCTTCAGAGTTGTTGTGCTGGAAGTTTGCAGCTCGGGTGCTATGCGGACAAGAAACCTTAGACGGGCTGTCCCCATTGCAATGCTTCCGCGATGCCGGCACTTTCGATTGCCTAGTCTGTCGTGGTTTACTGGGCTCTGGCCCTCGAGCACGGATCCGACAACGTCGACTATCGGCTATCAATCCTTCCATAGACTGAGTACGGAGTAGCCAGGTCACAGGTGACCGCCCAGGTCAAAACTTGCATTGCCATGTGGAGCGGCGAAGTTATCTTGTCTCCGCACATAGCCGAAAGCTGCACCGAGGCAGACAGAAGTGGTAGGGCATTCACGACTAGCAAACAAGACGAGATCAGTTGTTGATATCGATTCCCATTGCTGTCTGTCGGCGGCTGCCAATCAACGAGGGCAGCCTTGGACCGAAGGACGAGCCGCGTCGGGCAAGTGGGCAAGTTCCAGAACACGACAGGCCGCAAGGCAATGACCCAGGGCGCAAGGAAAGGAAAGGCACGAGAAGATTCGTGGCAAGGCCACCTGAACTTCGCAGGTTGCCCTGGCCCTGCGAGCGAGGGGAGATGGGGATAAGATGTATGAGGGACGACACCCACATCCACTTAGACCGACATGAACATTTTGCGGGCAATTTACCATTCCTTTTTGGAGGGGGTTTGCCGGGCCCAGAAGAAATCGAAGAACTAACATGTCGCTTCCCTGGTTAGCGGCAATGGCTTGACGTTGACAGACACACACTCAGACGTCGCTGGGGCCGTTCACGCGACGAACGAACCGACGCTATGTGCGGTACAGCCAGCTCGCCCGCTCTTGTCGAACAGGACTCCGGGAGCAGTGACTGGGCTACGGCAAATGCCAATGATGCATAATAGCGCGAAAACGGCGGCGGCTGTAGAGCAACTCTGACGATGCACCGCTTCCTGATGGTGTGGCCGCGACGTTGACCGGCCCTTTTGCTACGGCTCTAGCACCGCCTCTGGGCTTGCCTTTCCCAGGCAAAGAATGCCAAACCGAATTGGGCCCATCCCGCATAACGTGGGGCACCGCAAGATACCTGGGTGAAAAGTGAAAACAATCAAGTTCAATGGCACCAGGCCAGGGCCGCGGCATCGACATGGTCACGCTACTGTGGACTGGAGATTGGAATCGCATATCCGACATCTGGCATCAGGGTGCTAGTAATGAGAGCTATACAGGGATGCCGATAATTCAACCTCTCTCTCTCTCTCTCTGCGTGCTTCGTTGCCATTCCGTCCCGTCTTTCCCCCCCAAAGGTCAGACGGGCTGGGTCTGACTAACATGCTTTGCTAGATACCGAGTGCGTCCCTACGGTCGAGGATAGAGCAGCGGCCATATCGGTACGGACACCAGCGATTCATCCAAGAATAAAATGCTCGCGATGACGCAGCCATTTTCGTGGACATGTTGAGAGACACGCACCGAAGCAACACGTTGATGGTCTACGAATCCTGTATGCCTCTGCAATCACGATGCACGTTGGACAAGATGCAGTCGATGGATCTATTAGGCAGGTCTGCTCTGCGGATGCGATGCAAGAGGTAGGTGACAAAACAGCGACGCTGATGAAGTTCACAACTCGATTGGTCAGGGGCCCATGTACAAACCTGGTGACGTGCTCACAATACTTGCGGTGTATTCGTACGGAGCATCAAACATGTCTTTCTCATGCGGCGAGGAAAAGACTGATGAGGACTGTTACCCTTACACCGATTGCGAGATATCGTGGTGACAGAACAAAGGCCATGTACAGCTTGGTTCGTAGCAAGTTTGCATATTGGCAAAGTATGCTGCTTCACCGTCATCTTCGTTTCTTCATCTAAGAGACCTCGCCCAGAGCCCAGCACTACTGGTTTTTTTGCGCTACCTCAGCCACTCGATGCCGATTCGACCACGGTTTGCGATTATCGGGTTGGGCAGCGCGGGATTCACTACGGCGAGTTGTTCTCTCGGAGGCTTCCATCTCGAGCGACCTGCCTTAGTGAACTCCAAGCCCCCAGCCCCGGTGCCGTACTAAGGCAGGGTAAGGGTGCCTGACTCCTGAGTACTGGGGGAGGCGGTCGCGGCGAGGATGATTTTGGCGAGGGCCGGGCAGGCAGCGCACATACCAGGACAGGCCTGGCAGTTCACCATTGCGACCTTGGCCCGCCGCCCAGCTGATATAACGCACCCGGCACCCATCAGATGGATCTCCTTGCCGAAGCGAAGAGCGCGTACGAATATGTGAATGAATGGATGTTTGGAAGAGTAGAGGGCCAGCAACAGATCTGAAAGGTATGACCTTGTTCGGATCGGTAACACATGCATGCAAATGGATGGTGCCCGGGTTGGTAGCGTATCCGTACCTCGACTTCGTTAAGCCTTGGGACAACAGGCAGAAGAAGCACGCCGCCATGGATATCATTCTATCCTAATACAGTGCCCCCAGAATCAACGAGTCGTAAGGGATGGGGCCGCTGCGCGTGTATGCAACACGGCACGGTGGTAGCAACCGCCTCTGGCCCCGACAGAGTCAAGACGAGGATCGCCGACAGATGGCAGGCCTCTATCGGCTTACCGTCCGCCTTGCAGAGTGAGCTCATGGTCCCCATGGTGCTTGCTGCTTGCTGTTGATGGATTTCCGCGATACCAACGGCGGATAAGCAAGGGAGAAGAATAGCATGTGTTCATACAATCAAACTTCGTGGACGGTGGACCGAGTTGACCAGTCGACCTACGGATATGGGTACACAATATCTGTCTGTACGAGATGGATCATGGAGCCATGCAGCAGTCTGAGCCTGAGTCTGTTCCTGGGCCTGATGTATCCGCACCTGCTCCTCGACATCCCTGCCATCAAGTTCGGACGGAAACTGGAGATGACCTGATGTGACCCGCACTCAGACAAGAACATCATTCCGGCGAGGTAGTCGAAACTTCTCTGGAGATGTGTGAGGTGCAGGTGGACCAAGTCATGTCTACCTTGCTCCTCCCTGTCCCTGCAGGGCAGCAGCCAGCAGGTGACGTCTGGTCTTCTCCGCTGCACAGCAATTTTGCTTCTGTTTGAGCTTCTTCACCCCCAGCTGGCGAGTGACCACTCCTCCTACTAGGAAGCATTCACGATTAGATACACTTAGCACTCGAGATGCGATACTAGGACCAGGTGTGCGTTTGCCGATGCCTGCCACTGACGAGGCAGCGATTATTGTCGAGAGTACGGACACTCGTAGGTCTTTTTCGGCTTGATCTGACCTGCAATGAACAAACTAAAAACAAATTAACGGTGCAGGTACCTAATGAACCTACCTTCTTACAAGAAGAAGAAGAAGAGGAAGAAGAAGAAGAAGAAGAGTTACTTCTAGGTTGCTGTGCTACTACTACGTATGCTTACTCAGTGCGAACGAGCAACTCATGTCAAGGCGTGGATTCCGCGGCCAACCCTCAACCATCACCAAATGGCCCAGCTTTCTTTTTGATGGATCGTGGCCGGATCTATCCAACCATGCCGCCCGATCCAGGTTGTCTGCAGACTGCTGTCCACAAGTCATTTCCTTCTCACCTGCGCACGACCCTGCTTCCGGCCACGGCCATGGCCACGGTCATAACCACAACCACAGCCACACAAGTTCGCTCTCTCTCCCGCGCGCGCACTACTCACGGCCGCACGTCAATCGGCGAGCTAGCTAGGAGCTAGGAGCCCAAGCCAAACGAGGATGGTTGATGGAGAATAACGGTGACAGCTGGCTCTTCAAGGTTCCTCGCCCACAGTCAGCCATCTACGAACATACCTGGTCCATGCCAACAACGTCTTGTCCCCCTTTCCGCTAGCACGTTGACCCTCAAGACCCTACAACCCGGCTTCGCTATAAGCTAGGTGGCTCGGTATCACGATGTGGCTTCTAGCTCCATCTCATTCTCATTCTCCAGTTGCCTCCCCATCTCAGCCTTCGGCCCCCGTCAACTTTCAAGTCAGCTCGCCCTGCCCGGCCGGCCTGGCCGTCAGCCACAGAATGGGTACCCTGGGGTAGGTAAAGTTTCATTTGGAGAACGGCCGCGCTGAAGAAGGACTACCCATGGAAGGCGGCTGAAAGAGAAAATCGAACGTGCCAATTATTTTCCTCGAGGTTCCTATGCAATGTCCCCACGACATCGTCACTACCTTTTCTATTCTGGCAGGCTGAGCAACTCGAATGCGGCAGTATCCGCACTCTAGACAAGACTCTGACTCCCGATGATTTGGAACCTGCGACTTCTTCATTGGGAGAGCGCCTCCGTATCTGTAAAGATACTGATTACGAGACTTTGACGGATTGGAAAAGCGATGGTTTACGGCAAATTTGAACGAGAACTCATCAAGTATCCGGCGGAGACTGAAAACACTGCGCCTACGCCACAGCGTACCATGGATTCGTGTGAGCTTTCCTGTGTGGAGAGCCCGAAATGAGGCGAGGCACAGATCCTACACTGATGCCGACCTAGCTGAGCTTGTGTTCAGTCACAAACTTGCCAGTATCGTCAGGGCATCAGAGCTCGTCCCTATGGAGGACAGGCCTCGGCCCAAGTACCTACCTTATTAACGTGCTCATTGAGAGCTTACCGTGGCTAGGTATCGACATCCGCATCCGCATCCGCACCCACAGTCTACATCCGCGTCCGTTTTGCTGGCGCAGCGCTAGGGCGCAACGTGCCGTGTGTCTTTGGTGAGGTGCCACCTAGTGGCCGCTAAGACTGTAAGACATCCTCCCTGCCCAGTCCACGGATACCTTAATCATGTCTCTCATCGTATCGACAACTCAGAGGACCATCCGAGACAGACACGCAGGAGGACGGACGTGCCTCGAGCCGCTCAAGGATGATGACAGGCCAGGGCTCGGATGCGGACGGATAATACATCGGACGGCACAGCACAGCACAGGGCAAGGCAGGACAAGACGAAAGGACGACTCACAAAGGAAATGGGACCAGGGCAAGCCAAACTCGGAGAGAACGAACGTGGATGGGACCAGAAGGCGCCCTGTCACCTTTTCTCCTTCCGCTGCCACGCTGCCATAGCCGCATTCCATCCCCAACAAGCATGAGGAACATGTTCGTTCGGTATCCTTGCCCTGCTTCACTTACCTATCCGTACCAATACTCATACGCTACTACTTGGTACTCCGTACGTAAGTTGCCTTCCTACCCGTCGTCCGACATACCTTGCCTTACACTACAGCGGTCTCCGAAGGCGGCACCTCACGTACGGATACCGTGGTCCTTGCCCCCATGCCAATGGTATCCGAGGGTAGTAGCTGACGAGGATGAGTGGTAGGTTCCCTTACCTCACCCACCATCCATCCAAGGCATGGTTACGGATACGGATACTTCCTCTCTCCAGGAGCCCAGTCTCCATGCCCGGCGTACTCGCAAGTTGCAACATCTGATGAGCACCAAACCTCTTACATCTCTATCATGGTTTGTTTTTTCGACGGCTACCCCGTCGTGCGTGGCTACGCGTACGTCTTCTCTCATTCAATGCCACCATCTTAGACCCGTCATCTCATCTCTCTGTTGCGCTCGCAGGTCGATCCCTCCGCTCGCCTCTCCACATATCCCACAACCTTCTTTCGACCCCGACGACATTGCTGCATTCACACCCCTCCCCCCGGTTCTCGTTGTGCCTTTTCCTCTTCTCCCCCATGTCCCTCACCCCATGGCCCAGTTCCACGCGCACCCACGTCCGCTCATCTGTCTCTTCCGCCACCTACTCCGTAGTGTACAAAGGTGTAGGTACCTTGACCCCTGGACCCTGGGCTATCGACACCACCACCACCGGCATCATAACCACGAGCATCAGCAGCCACCGCCGCAAACCTGTGTGCAGCGGTTACAACGTTGGCTCGAGCGTTGCCATGCGTTCCGTCAGTACGTACCCCGACATACCTGGCTCGAACGGTCTCGTCTCGTCCTGCTTTGCCCTCTCTGAACGAAGCCATAGCACACACGGCCACATGGGCTGTCAACTGCTGTCCATGTTCTTTGTCCTGGCGTGTGCCTGGGTTAGCTATTCTTTTCTATCCGTATCTGCAAGGTACTCAAGAAATGGGATAAAAAAGGTTATTAGCACAGAAGATCGATCATCCTTTCCAACGTCTCACATTGCACTTCTATGTACGAAGTACCTACGTACGGATACTCTCCTGCTCCTTACTTGCTTCTTCCCTTTCGCAGATTCAATGTCCTCTTTTCCCCACTCTCTGCCGCTTCCACACCCCTCCAAGCTCTCTTCAATACCATCGATATCAGGTCAATCTTACACTTCCTCCACTCTCTCCCGCTGCCTGTCTTCATCCTGGCTTGGTCTCTACCCTTTCTAGTGTCTACCTTGACTTGGAGAGTCCGTACTCTGTACCCCCCCGGGTGTTGGTCTGTCTCCTCCCCCTCCATCTAGTGTACATGCTCGCCTAGGTATCCGTACCCTCCACCCATCCATCCCATCTCATCCTTGTACGAATTCATCCCATCCCATCCATCCCCCATCCCTATCCACCAGTCAGTCTTCTTTTCCTCCTTCCTGGCTCCCGGCTACATTGTACATACCCATCCTGCCATCTGCCATCTGCTACCGGCTCCGACATTCGAGACAACGTTCACCCCTCCCTGTCCACTCCCACCTGAACCATCCCTCCTTCACATCCCCAATCAAATTTGGTACTCTGCACGCTGCATACTGGCCGGCACTGCTAACTTGCCAAAGTCATTAGGCAAGAGACGCAGAGAGGGAGAGCCTGCAGGCGCAATGAAGCCCTTTTGATTTTCACCGTAAATTATTATTGCATCTTATTTCTCCGTCCCCTCTCTAGTCCTGCTAGCTTTCTCTCACTTTTTTTTTTTGGCCTTGGCCACGCCCGCGGTCCCGTCCCGTGTCCGCATCTTTCCTTCACTCAGCCTTTACTTTCACTGGACTGTCGCCCAACTGACTCTTGTCTCCCCCACACTCTTATTACGTTGTGGCTTCATACGTGCCTGTTTTAATCTCATCCAGGAACCCTCAGACCCAGCGCTACTATCGCCATCGCTACCGCCAACCAATATTATCATCTCCTCCCTGGCCAGTGTACTGACTGCTTCAAGTTACTGGTCTTATGGTTTTTGCTGCCCACGGCTGATGATGCTGCCGGTTGATGTGTTTTTTTCTTTCTTCCCTTCTCTCTCTTACTCACACACTCTCGCATGCTCGCTCGCATACTTCCTCGCCCTCTCTTCTTACTCTCTGTCCTTTCTCTTCTACACGCCCCCCTCTCACACACAGACGCGCGGAGAATTGTCGTTGAACAGGGGTTCGTGATGGCATAGCCCTCTACCCTTGATTAGCAGCCACTCTAAAGACGTCGACCAGGGTGTTCCCTGGCCTACCTTTCCCTCGACCAGATCAACCCTGAACCACACCCTAGCTTCATCTCAATTGCCCCCCTCCCCTCGTAGGTCTAGCAAGCCTGCCTCCAGTCACACAAAAACTGACCGGGAGCCACCGATCGACTGCTCCCAAGAAAAAAAAAAAGCCTATGGGTCCTTCTCTCCAACGTATCCAGCCCTCGAGAAATAACGCTTCTTTATTCCGGCCGCCGAGAGGAGAGAGAATCGGAGAGACAAAAAGAGGCTAGGGGTAGACTAGATCTACATCGTCTTCCTCCCTTTTCTCTACTTCCGCCCTTCTCTTTCTCTTACTCCATCACTTATACATCCGTACCCAAAGACAGGTCGCCGGTACGCAGGTATCCAGCCATCCATCTCCGCATCCCGTGCCTGAGGTTCTGTCGTGGTACCTCCTGCAACTGTCCGCATCAGCATCGCGCTCGACAACCCGCCAGCGTCGCCGCAAGGAGCTTCATTGGACCTTGGAGGGTCACTGTGCTACAGCAGCCTCGTCGTCTTACAGCACCAGACGCTGCATCTGATCATTTCTGCCTGCTTTCATAGGACAGCTGGATCGGCCTTCTTTGCGATCCTCACACCTGGCACGAAGACCCGGTTGAGTGTTTAAAGACGGCGCGCGAACTTGCATTGGCTTTGAAATACCCGCTGGCTCAGACTTTTGCTATTCGCCATATCGAGTATTTCTTCGGAAACCACAAGAGAGCTTTCTCCTTCCATCGGGACTGGTATTTCGAGACTGTGTGGGCAAGAGGGGGAATTCAACTCATCCGACCCAAAGAAAAAGGTATCTTTCAAGCGGAACCACAACGTTCAACCGTCCTTGAGTAACGAAGGGGTATTATATTCGGATCTGGAGCAAGCATAAAAGCGCAACGACGAGCTTCAGAACATCGACAGCAGCACACGACGGACCGATATCGTCTCGCGATAGTTCCGGTCTCTCGCAACAGTCTGGGAAACGAGGCGTCATCTGAACGAAGACGTGGAGAGCTCTCGACCCGGATGCCCAGTGAAGCTGCATCACAACATCCATGCAAGCCATAAGTAGCGATTGCGATACGTCGTCTACCTCGTTCGGCCAGCGCCGAGGCATTTCCGATCTGGCGCGATTCGCTCTCGACCTGACCTGGGCAACGCCAACAAGAGCAGAGTCCGAGACTCCTGCTCGACCCAGAGCATATCCTTCCCCGCCCATGTCAGGGTCTCCTCCTCTTCCGCCCAAGCCAAATCCAGAGGCTAGTGACCGAGGGCAACTGCATGGCAGCTATCTGTCCACCAGCC